ACTCGTAGTATTTTTCAGAAAGATCACTGGATATTTTTTCAAAAAAGTAGTGTTTTGCTGATCAACATTGTTATTCCAGAGGATGAGTTGGCACGTTATCATTGGATGTCAGCTACTTATCTTTCTGGAGTGGCAGGAAATGAAGTCAGCTTGACTTTAAATAGCTCAAATATCATTTTAAATATGCACAACTGAGTGGTGGTTTGGGTAGCTTGCCATTATTTAATAGCACCATCAGTGACTTGGTGCCTACAATAAGTTCCTGAATCCAGAAGAAAGTTGTGAAACATGACTGTTTTGATCAGATGATTTTGTTTTGTCATGAAAGAACATCATTAAATTTCTGTAAAATCTCCTCCAACCTAAAAAGCTGGTTTAAAAAATGTTAGCTCTCAGTGGAACGTTAATGCCATTCTTTGTAAAAGAAAGACAGGTATTATTTGGTTTCTAAGTTTGTTTTTATCAGTTTTTGCTTTTAAGACAGTGAATAGCAGTTGTGCATGAAAATGATTTTGATTTTCATACACAGTGTGGGTTGCAAATTTAGTAATCAGTTGAAAGAACTAGAATTAAACATTTCAGACAGTAAGATAGTATCTATTTCCATTCATTATAAAAATATCCATTTTTATGGGCATGTATATATGGAAATTACTGAATCACTCAGCTTCTCTAACTTTTAGAGATAAATGGAAGCGGAACTTTGTTTTTAATTACTTTTACTGGGATTGAAATTCAATTTGCCAAGGAGAGGAATGTTTTCATTAATAAACAGCATTAATATACTGTAAAAATTTCTGGACAAATCTTATTACTCGGAAAACTACAACTTTTTGTTCAGAAACAGAAATATTTTACACTACAAAACATTCTACTTACAGGGTCCTAGTCCTGCCCCTTGTCACCAAGCCTATAGTAGCAAGTAACAACTGTGCAGGTGAGGGACAGTCACAGTCTCATCAGAGATGGTTTTCTGCCTTAAGGAGCAACTGTTCCACTAAGTCAAACAATACTAAGCTGATTAACATTTTTTCATCTTACAGCATAAAGTATAACAAGACCCCTACTGTGCAGCACCTAACACACAGTAATTCCCTGTCCCCTTTCAGCTTACAATACCTTGTCTATGTGCACATACCCAAAATGCTACTGAGGTTAATGCAAGTGTGAGTAGCTTTGTATAGTGGCAATATGGAGCCCCTCAAGCTCTGAAGGGAGAGAAGACAGAGTGTAGTGTTAAACATTCAGTAACATCTCACTTACAAATACACCAGCTGTGTGCAAAACCAGGATAACCTCCCAAAATAAAGGAACCAGGATAACTTCCCAACATAAAGGATGAATGGACAAAGAAAATATTCAAAGGCTTTGCTCTTAGTACTTTGAAGGTACTCATAGATAAAAGGTGCTTGAAAAGCAATCAGGGCTGCTACCATTTGGAATTCAGGGGGAACTATAAACATTTCAAAATCTTTCATTCACTATGGATTTTATTTTCTTTTGGCATTAAATCTGACTACACAGAAGTCCACTGTTCCAGAGAAAGGACAGGTAATGTGTTGTCTTCATGAATTGATTAGCTTCACATAAATGGATCATCTATTGCATATTGCATGAGAGCTGAAGAAATTCTGGTTGCTTAAGTGGGGGGCAGAAAAAGTTCTCCAAAGATCGATATTGCAAAATGTAGATCCAGATATCTACATGGCAAATGCTAAGAGGAAAACACTGTACTGAGGAAGATCATCAGAGGAAGGTGGGGCCAGCAGGGAACTGCATGTTCAGGGGCAACCAGCACGGGTTCATCAGCGGCAGGTCCTGTCAGACCAACCTGGTGGCCTTTTACGACCAGGTCACTAAATCACTGGATGCAGGGGTGGCAGTGGATATAGTTTTCCTAGACTTCAGGAAGGCTTTTGATACTGTCTCTCACCCCATTCTCATTAGGAAGCTGGGGGACTGTGGCGTAGACACCCATACAGTCCAATGGGTCGCCAACTGGTTAGAGAGTCGCACCCAGAGGGTGGTAGTGGATGGGTCCTTCTCGACCTGGAAGGACGTGGGAAGTGGGGTCCCACAGGGCTCGGTCCTTGGGCCTGCACTGTTCAATATCTTCATCCGTGACTTGGATGAGGGGGTGCAAAGCACCCTGTTCAAGTTTGCTGATGACACTAAGATGTGGGGGGAAGTGGGCACAATTGAGGGGAGCAACAGGCTACAGTTAGACCTAGATAGGTTACAAGGATGGGCGGAGGAGAACAGGATGGGGTTTAACACAGACAAGTGTAAGGTGATGCACCTGGGGAGGAACAATCGGCACCATACATACAGGCTGGGGAACTCCCCTCTTGTCAGCACGGAGGTGGAAAAGGATCTGGGAGTCATTATTGACTCCAAGATGAACATGAGTCGGCAGTGTGGGGAGGCGGCTAGGAAGGCCAACTGCACCTTGTCGTGCATCCACAGATGCATCTCGAGCAGGTCCAAGGAGGTGATCCTCCCCCTCTATGCGGCACTGGTCAGGCCGCAGCTGGAGTACTGCGTCCAGTTCTGGGCGCCGCACTTTAAGAGGGATGTGGACAGCATCGAGAGGGTCCAGAGGAGGGCCACTCGTATGATCAAGGGACAGCAGGGTAGGTCCTATGAGGAAAGGTTGCGGGACCTGAACCTGTTCAGCCTTCAAAAGAGAAGGCTGAGGGGGGATCTTGTGGCCTGTTATAAACTGGTTAGGGGGGATCAGCAGGCGCTGGGGGAGTCCCTGTTCCCCCGAGCGCTGCAAGGAGTGACCAGGAACAACGGTCACAAGCTGGCGGAGGGAAGGTTTAAGTTGGACATCAGGAGGCGCTACTTCACGGTCAGGGTGGCTAGAGTCTGGAACCAGCATCCAAGTGAGGTGGTGCAGGCTCCCACCCTGGGGGTTTTTAAGAGGAGGTTGGATGACCACCTTACTGGGGTCGTTTGACCCCAGTGCTCTTTCCTGCCATGGCAGGGGGTCGGACTAGATGATCTGCTCAGGTCCCTTCCGACCCTAGAAACTATGAAACTATGAAACTGTGAAGGTAAAATCTTATGGCTCTGCTGACTTCAGGGGAGATATACCAATTCATACAAGATGACAATCTGCTCAGTTGTGCTGTTGTTGAGCCTACTCTCTGTGTAAATGAGATCTAGCTTGATAGAGCAACACATTCTGCTCCACCTTTTAGATGCTTAAGCAGACTTTAGCACCCAAGTGTGATCTTATTCTACTCTGTTTGAATCCCTGAAAAAATGTTAATATAAAAGATGGGTGAATCAGCTTTGTCTTCCTTAGAATGACAGCATATTACAGAAACAGATGCATTACAGGAGCTTTAGGGACTTGAGCAGGACAGAACAGGATCACACTTGAGAACCTAATAGGTAAAGTAGGATTTGGACCTAAGTTTATAGGGCAACCTTAGGGATTCATGATACAGAAGAATTAAATTATATTCCCTCTGATGTTGCTAAGTTACCCAATATGATGGTGAAAGCTTTAATTAAACTGCAGGTATTGTAAAGAAGATGATTATGTAGAATAGGTACTTCTTTATTTAACAGATTTGCTACTTATCCATGTTATTTGTATCTTGTTGTGTCAGCAACAGAATATGTTAATTGCATGCTTATTCTGATTACCACTTGCAGAGTTCCTATAGGCACGAAAGAAAGGCCTAAAGTCTATTCTGTCAGGAACACTAGCAACAAAGTCATTATGTTTCAGTCTTTGCCTTGAGGTGTGTAATTCAACTGAAATTCTAAATGACATACACTGTAGGATAGTCAGAATTACTGTGCAGGCTTGACTTTCAGATCCTAGGATAAGTTTGCCAAGGGGATAGAAAGAGCATATTTTAGCTCATGGGCTCAAAAGAAACAATATAGCACATCAAATAATCATGGCACAAGATAATATATTTTCAAAGGTCCTTACATAGAACAGCTAACCGTGAAAGTCAGCTGCTTTCAGTATACGTAGTAGGAGTGTGCGAAGCGGGATTTGGATTCAGTTTGAATCAGGGACAGCGATTCAATTTGGTGATTCAAATCACTGTCCCTGATTCCATTCAGCTGAATCCAAATCTGAAGATTCAATGCTGATTCGGAGAATCAGCGATTCAGACATAGACACAGCTTTAAAAGCTTTTTCTACATACACCAAGTACCAGTGTGGCTTGTGAATGCTGCGATGCTGGGGTGCATGGGCGTCCCACAGGAGTGCAGGGAGGGCCCTCCACATGCTTGGCAGTGAGCACACTGGGGGCCCCCCCCCCACATGTCCAGCTTGGCAATCGGCAGCAGGGGGACCCAGGGTGTCCCCCCAAACCCAGGAGACACCAGTCACTGAGCCAGGGGAGTACGGGGAGGCTCCCCCAGAATGCTCTCTGGCAGACAGGAAAGTGGACCAGAAGTGCTTCTGGTTTACTTCTGGGTCTGCTGCTGATCACACTGGGGAGTCCCCATGTTCTTCTGTGGGACACTCCATCTGCCCCAGCATCGCAGCATTCATGGGTCCCTGCTACGTAGAGGTATGTTGAAAAAACATTTAAAGCTGTTTCTATGTCCAAATCGCTGAATCTCTCTGAATCTATTCAGAGGGTTCCTATTCGATTCAGAGAGATTAAAGGGTCCTCTGATTCGATCTGGATTCAGCGATTTGGCCACCAAATTGAGCTGAACCTCTGCTGAATCAAATCAGGGACTGAAGCTTCGTACAGCCCCAATATGTAGTGCATTTCCATAATCAATAATACAAAATGTTGGCCACTTTGCTTCTCCTTATATACATTTAGAATGCTAGAAAGTATTTTACTTCAGACAATTTCTGTTTCACAAGCCTGACTTTTTTATTAGCAGAAAATATCATAGTATACATCCTGCTCTTAACCTTGTAACTGGTTTTAAAATGTTGTCATCAGTCACTACAAATGCTTAAAATCACTTAAAAAGCATAATTCTGTAATATTAAATAATCTTACCAGTAAAGTTGGTGTGTTACTTGAATGCTTTGAAGACAGCGATTTAGAAGGAACTGCACTAGGGGGCTTTCAAGACTCCATTCGAACTTAATTATCTAAGCAGATATAGAAAAAACATTCAGTTACAGGTTAGTTTTACTGCATTTCTTTCAAAAATAGATAGGAAAAGGTTTTATTTGTGTGGTTACTTGAATTCAAGAGGTGTGGAATGCTCAGAAAATGGAAGGAACAAAGCCAGGGTATAAACACACACCCTCATTTGGACAATTGCAGAGTTCATCCTGATTCTGGCATCCATTAAAAATTTGCTCCAAATCAGTTCCCAACCTCCTCCCCACTCTGCAAACTTAATATGGAACATTCAAATTCCTTTACTTGATCAACCTGACATTAAAAATTAATTACAGTTTTAAAAAAAATATCTGCAGGTGGCATAGAGAAGCACCAATTATTATGCCACGAGTTGCACAAATACACTGTAAGTGATTATGATGCCTGGAGACCAGACAAGAAAAGAGCACTGAAGAGACTAGTTCAAGGCTCTATGGTAGTTGAGGGATATGGCTGAGACTAGAACCCAGATCTTTCACATATATTCAGCACTGTATCCACAAGGCCATTTTGTTTCAGTTGTGAAGTAGGCTAATTTTGGACTAATTCTTGCTTAAAAATGATCCTTCTGTCCTTCACCAGTGTGCTAAGAATAATTTTAAGCCAGTTTGGATTTATAGCACACAGACTACTATGGTTGATATACACAGCTACACAATCTATCATCCAGACATTTAGTTATTGAATCACTGCTGGCTACTGGAAATGTCTGCTTCATTGGTCTCCCTTCCCCACCCCCATCATAAGAAAGCATCCACCTCACTGGAACATGAGAAATCTGACAACCTAGATCTGTGGGGGAGAGGCTGTTCAAAGTATTCCAGAGAAGGAGGATAAAAGTTTTGCAGCTAGCCATCTCTTCCTTGACCGGAAGACAGAATACTTTCAAGCATACAATTGCCATCTCTTGGAAAATCAAGTTTGGACCAATAGTCAGAGATTATTTGTAGTGAAACGCAAAGTACATAATGAACAAGATTATTCTCCAGAGAGACTGCTTGGCATAGGCTGCACTGGTGATGCCTTTTCAACACCCTGGTTCTAAATACATTATGGTATTTAACACTGATATGTGAATGCAAGAAACTCTGAAACCTGGCTCTGTCAGCCATAGATTTGATGCTGCCTGCTATTGGTCACAGCTGCATTTCCTTTTTCCGATTATTTTTTTTTTCTAGAGTATCAATTCAGCAATGCCAGAAAAGGTGAACTACATTCTTTTAAGTGGAACACAATCTATAATTCACCCCTGTAGTTAACTCAATCATCACATCAGCTAGTCTGTCTTCTTTGCTTATTCTTCCAATAATGTATCAATCAAACTGGAAGGATCAAAAGTATTTAATGAAGTTATTGATCTGACTACAGGACTTCCTTGGCTATCAATTGTTTCCTTACCTGAACCAGCTGTGGGAGGTATTCTAGCAATTCATCATTTGACAGATTTTCTATTTGTTGGACTGCAGTTCTGCGAATGTCTTGATCTGGAAAACTAGTGCAAAACAAACAGAGATCATTAGGCACTACTGAGCTACTAGTGGTGCACTACAATTCTCAAGACTTTTTAACTAAACAATATGCTAAACAAACAGGTTTGTACTCAAAATGGGATAGGAAAATCAAATCCATCTGCTTTACGGTAATTGGAATCAAAGAACATGTAGCAGATAACTTAACTAGAATGATTGTTCCTTACAATGAAAAAACATTATGATTCTCAGAGGCCTCTTTGTAAGTTAAGCTCTCAGGAGTCATTTATTGCCTTTAGTTACATATTATATCATAATATAAAGCAAATTATATGCATTCATCTGCAGTTATTTAGGACAGAACTTCTTAAAATGCAGAATTTCAACTCCATGGAAAATGTCAACACTTCAAAATTTGTTTTTGTTCAGTATTAGGACAGTCAAAACATTGCTTTTAGGATCATTTCAGTCTTATTTTGACTTTAATTTATAAATTTGTTTTTCATTTTTGAAAACTGAAGTCTCTACAGGGCATAAAAACCCCCAGACATAACAAACCACTGCTCATACCCAAACCACCAGCAGAGGCAAAACTCCACTTTTGAAATATCTTGAAAAAAAATAATTTCCATTTTTGACAACGTCAACTGAAGACATTGATAATGATCTATGCAGTATTTTGCATTCAGAAGCATTCAACATTTTACCAAGAAAGCAGAAATGTTACAAAACATGATCAGGGGATAAATAGAAATGAGTTATTTGGGTGCAGACCCTGATAACAGTTGGACCATTTCAAAATGTCACTGTTTGGGAACTGATTGACAATTGTGTGAAGTGTTGTGGCTCTGACTTGTGGATGGAAGTGAACACCCAGCCAACCATACCTTTCAGTGGGCAAGTATAGGGAGGAGGCAGATCTTGCACCCATGATTTGGAGGTTCCAGGGAGCGGGTGACCTGTGGCTGGGGGCTTTTTCACTTCTCTGCCTTCCCTTCTCTCCTAATCATGTGTTCAATAATCTTTAATAGAATGTAAATGGCCAACATCTGTAATGTGCTTGCTTGACTTGCAGGTAAGGGAAATGCTTGGACCTGTGCTTTTTCATTCCCAGGGGGCTGAGGAGGGGAGCTGTGGGGGGGGGAAGGACATGATGAGATGCTGTGGTCAAGGTTGAGAGAGGACACAGCTGGTTCTTAGAAAGATAGCTTTTATTGAATGAGCAGTGCAAGGGAAATCATTGATAAAAAAGGGCCAAAAAAAGAGGGAAAAAGGTAGTAGCAGCATTCTGGCTGTGTACCAGGGCAGCCAGGTGCAGCAGTGTGTGTGGAGTGTGAGGAAGAATGCAGTGTGGAATGCCTGGAAGACTGACCAGACGTGTGTCACGGAACACTTAGTGTCCACACAGAGCACTGAACCAGTTTATGGTGAAATGTTCAAAACAGTACTTTATTTTTCAAGTATATTTTTTAACTGTTCCAGGTGTATTTAAACTAGTTTACCAGGTGGGTATGCCTGTCTATTTCTGTTTTAAGCCATACTGAAACCATTCCGAATGTTGTACACACTCTATACAGAAAACAACAACAGTGTACTACTTCCAAATTGATGTTATACTTAGGATTATCAGAGGGGGTCTAAGAGAACTTGGCTGATAACTTTCATTGAATTCCAGTGCTGTTTTAGGCCAAACTCCTGCAGACTTTGAAAATCTTAGCTTAAGTATCACTAATTTGGTAGTTTGCACATAAAGAGATAAGGTGGGGCCTGGAGATTTCAGTGTCTGCTCACCCTATGGGAGGTTCTTTTGGATCAGAATAGGTGTCAGAAGGCAGCATAGAGAAGATGGTTTTGCTGACGTCCATGCTACATCTTTTTTGCACATCAGCAAGTAGCCTTCAAATTATCAATCACTTCTTGCCAACATAAAATTTTATATGAAAGAACCACATTTACTGGAATATAAAATGACCCTGAATATAAGATGAGCCCCAGTAATTAGATTCTATACCTGGAAAATTATAACAAATTTATAAAATTTTCATATGGAGGTTTGCCTTGACTTTGTCCCCCTCCCACTGCTACAGCAGGGAAAATAAATCTGAGGGTGTTAGGTAGCCCTGTTGTCCTCTGCTTCCCCAACATCTTTCTCCAACAGCTCATTCCCCACCCCCACTTACTTTCAGACCCTGCTTTCCCTGAGTACATGGAAGAGAAGCACATTTGAAAACACTGGATGCATCTATACATGCATATTAATGCATGTGAATAAACTCCAGGGCTTATCACTCTAGAGTTTATTGCTCCCCAAGCTTCACATATGCCCAGGACTGCAGCATGTTGAGCTAGGGTGGAGCAGCCCTAGAAGGACAAGGTACTGATGGGACTGTACCACAAGAATAGAATAAGATGCTTGGTAGTGTCCATTGCAGTCAGTTCCCTCAGCACTGATTCTTTTAAAAGTCATGGTGAGCCATGAAATTGAATACATTTCAACTTTCTCTTCACTTCCACAGCTGAGCTATGCCTTTCTTTCCCATTGCCACTAATTCCTGTTTCTTCACCAGCCTGAACTGTCTGGCAGAAGTCAACAAACAGGGCCCCAAACTGTTCACTGAGAATCCCTCTGTTTCCCTGTCTCTCAGCCTGTCACATAAGATTAGGGACCAAGTGGACATTGGCAAGCTGGAAAGGTGGGCAGAGCAGAACTGGATATAGTTCAATAGGGATAAATGCAGAGTACTTTGTCTGGGGAGAAGTAGCCAGCAATGTTAATATAGGTTAGGAGGAAATGTCCTGGCCAGCACGATGGCTGAAAGGGACCTTGGGGTTATGACTGATCACAGGATGAACACAAGCTGCCAGTGTGCTACTGTAGTCAACAGAATGACTAGCATACTGGGAAGCATTAGCTGATGCATCATGAGCCGGGTTAAGGAAGTGATGCTTCCTCTCTACTCAGTGCTAGTGAGACCCCAGCTGGAAAATGGTTTCAGGTTGGATGCAAGGAAGAACTTCTTTGTGGTAAGGGTCACCAGAATCTGGAATAGGCTCAGTGATGCAGTCTCCAACCTTGGAAGTCTTCAAGAGGAGACTGGACAGACCCCTTGCTGGGACCATTTGATCTCAGCAGTATTCCTGCCCAGAGCATATTAGACCCCCTCCCTCCACACTTGCAACTGGAACCAGGTGTTCTTGTCATGAGTCCTAGGATCCTCCAAAAATTTATATGCAGATGAGATGCATGGCAACCTGGTCTGGGTCCACCCCATGGAGGGCAGGGTCACACTAATCATATGTAGTGTACCTAAACTGCATAGATGTACCTAAATTGCACCAGAAGTGCACTGCACAGTGACTTCTTTAATCTTGCTCTTTTTGCCACATGTCTCCCCAGCCATTGATTGGAGGAGGGGCCCCAGCAGCCCTTCTGCTTGTTCTTGATCTGCCAGGAGGCAAACACTGTGGGTTTAAATATGCTGTGGTTTTTTCCTCCTGCTGCTGAATGCCTGAAGGGCCCAGGCAGCACCACCACTTGCCACTGATTGGCTGAGAGGCAAAAACCACAGCATATTTAAAACCACAGTTTTTGCCTCCTGGCTCACCAGAAGCAAGCAGGGAGTGTTGGGGCTGCTGGGGTCCCTTGGCCAATCAGCAGATGAGGCAAAAAGAGCAAGATTAAAGGAGTTGCTGTGCAGCACACTTTTGGCATGATTTAAGTAGGTCCCTAATCTTATGTGACAGGCTGAGAGAGGGGGACACAGAGGGCTTCTCAGTGAACAGTTTAAGGCCCTGTTTGTTGACTTCTGCCAGACAGTTCAGGCTGGTGAAGAAACAGGAATCAGTGGCAATGGGAAAGAAAGGCATAGCTCAGCTGTGGAAGTGAAGAGAAAGTTGAAATGTATTCAATTTCATGGCTCACCATGACTTGTAAAAGAATAAGTGCTGAAGGAATTGAGTGCAATGGGCACTACCAAGCATCTTATTCTATTCTTGTGGTACAGTCCCATCAGCATCTTGGCCTTTTTGGC